AACTATTAGGTTGTCAGAAAAGTCATACCGTATTGCTTCTGTTTTTCTATACAAAAATGCATCGTAACTTTTCTGACAACCGAATAGTTTATAGACAGTTTTGCAACACTTAAAAATGTTTAATCACTGTATTTACTTTATTAACTTATATTTTTAAAGAATTACTTAAGGTACTTAGGATAAGTTTGTCAGAAAATTAAAGTCCTTAAAAGAAAGTATAATATATTAAATTTACATGCTATCTAAAATATATCAGAACATTAAGAGTACAGAAGAGACCAAAAATTTTTATGAATTCCCTTTAAAGGTGTTTATATAAATTTGCTAGGCTTATAGATTCATAAGCTGAACTCCAATAATTATTTTATTTAACTTTATTTATTTATTTTAATTTGACCAAAGAGGGACAGAGTGAGAGAGAGAGAGAGAGAGAAAGTAAGCTGCCAGGTCCAGGACTCGAACCATTGTCAACCATCATACCACCTGCTGACCCCCATATGCTGAAATTTAAATCTTAAGAAATAATTAGGGGGACCAGCAGTTGGCGTAATGGCTGTGTTGCTGGACTCTCATGTAGTTGACCACAGTTCAAGTCCCAGACCCAGTAGCTTAAACACACACCAGGTGTGTGTGCGTGCGTGCCCAAGGTCCTGAGAGGAGAATGGAGAAGGGATTGTGGCATAACCATCCCCCTGGAGGGGGGGTGGTGATTTCTCGCTTTCTGTCTCTCTCTGTCTCTTTCTGTCTTTCTGGCAAGGGCAAGCGCCCTACAGCAAAAAACTCGAAAGAAAGAAAGAGAAAGAAAGAAGAAAGAAAGAAAGAAAGAAAGAAAGAAAGAGAGAGAGAGAGAGAGAGAGAGAGAGAGAGAGAGAGAGAGAGAGAGAGAGAGAGAGAGAGAGAGAGAGAGAGAGAGAGAGAGAGAGAGAGAGAGAGAGAGAGAGAGAGAGAGAGAGAGAGAGAGAGAGAGAGAGAGAGAGAGAGAGAGAGAGAGAGAGAGAGAGAGAGAGAGAGAAAGAAAGAAAGAAAGAAAGAAAGAAAAAAGAAAGAAAAGAAAGAAAGAAAATAATTAGGTTTTTCACCTTAACTTTAGTAGAGTATTAAGTTTTAAAAACAAACAAAAAAGTACATATGATCTTCTGGATGCATAAATGCACACGTGTGTACACACACACACACACACACTAGCGCTCTCCACAGTACCAAAGCCTAGTATTAACTGAGTAGTGTTATTTAAGCATATCATTAGTGCCCTCCAGTGGCTGAAGAGAGAAACAACTCATGGACATTAAAATGGTTTTTTATTTAGTAAAATCCTAATAAAAGTGTGAAACATTATGTGGGTTATACAATGAAAAATAATTCTTATCAATGAGTACTCATTACAATTTGTTCAATATAGTAATTTTTTTTTAATTTGTCAGAGGGCACATGTGCTCTCCAGAAAGAGACAGGGGCACAATGAGAAAGTGAGACAGAGAAAGCACCCCCAATGGGGCATGGTCATGCCACAATTCCTTCTCCTCTATTTTTCCACTTTTGGAATTTGAAGCATACACACACTTGTATTCAGCGTGTCTTCCAAGCCACCAGGGCTAGGATTCGAACCATGCAGTCCACCACGTGGGATCCGGATCCTTTAACCACTACTCCTTGAGCCTTGCCCAGTTATGTATTTCTTAGCATATCGTCACTATCCATAAGTCCTGGGTTGGAGTGAATGGATGTTGTACACTGTTCTAGCAGCTCAAAGAGGACACAAGAAAGCAGAATCCCAAGAGGCTTCATGAAGCAGGTGGTATTTGAACTGGACTTTGAAGTAGTAATTTTATCACATGGTCATAGAGGAAAAGAGGGAGCTAACACAGAGGCGAGAGAGAGAAATGCAGGCTAGGAAAAGGGGAGCAATCCTGTTTGAAATGAATGCACAAGATCACAACAAAAGATGGGATTCAAAATCTAAGCTGGAACTAGCTGGGACAGGATCTGAACACCAAATGCAGAAGTTGAGACTTTGTGCCAAGGCAATGGGAAATCACTGAAGCTTTTGCTAGCTGTGCTGCAGAATCTTCAGAGTATTGTGCAGGAAAGGTCAGGAAGACAAAATGAAACACACAAGGCATTTAGATAGTGCACTGTTTAGGAGAGAAGATTTGATGACCTGAAGAAAAAAGAAGGGATGGCTTCTGGAAACATTACAGAAGTAGAATTAGTAGGAATTAATTCTATATAGAGAGTGAGATGTGGAAGAAGAGTAAAAAATAAGTGTTGTTTAGAGCCTGGTTAAGAAGGAAGATAATGACATATGTAAACAAGATGGAGAACACTGAAAAGACGAGCAGATTTGTTTTGAGGACAGTATTAAGTTTTTCTAGGAAGAAGTTAAACTTAAGTGTAGATAAATCATCCAGTAAGCGGATGGAAATTCCAATGTAAGACTCAAGAGAGAGGGGTTGACCCCATAGCCTAGTGATTAAGAAAACTGGATCCCACATAGCCAACTGGCTATGGTAACTTATAAAAAACACACAGGGGCTTATGCATGCTTTCCCCAAATCGCAATGGGATGGAGAAATGAAGGCAAGGGATTGCAGCATGACCATACCCCATTGGGGGTGGAAAGGGTACCTTCTCCCTCTCTCCCTGATTGCCTCTGACAAGAGCACATGCCCTCTGGCAATTTTTTAAAACAAAACAAACAAACAAAAAAAGACAAAATAAAACTGTCAACCTAGAATTCTATATCCCGAAAAAAATTCATCAAAGATGAAAGTAACACAAATAAATTTAGAGGGGAAAAAAAATTGAGAGGATTATCTGACAGCCAATTCACATTAAAAGAATACTAAAGGGAGTTCTTTCATCAGAAGGGAAAAAGTCCAGAATGGAAGCATAGCAATGTAAGAAAAAAAAAAAAAGAGTACCAGAGAGTTTAACTATGAGGATAAAACTAAGCAAATATCCACTGCTAAAAACAATAATAATAATCAAAGTTATGTGAGGTTTAAAATGTATATCATACTAATACGAGGTAGCAGGTCAGCTCATGGCATAATGATTAAAGAGGTTGGATCCCACATGGCCAGTCACACAGTTCAAGTTCCATACCAGTGACTTGAAACACATGCCAGGAGCATGTGCCTGAAAACCCAAAACCCTGAAAGGAGGGAGAGATGGAGGAGAAGGGATTACAGCATGACCATCCTCCATGGGGAGTGCTTTCTTGCTTTGTTCTCTCTCTCTCTCTCTCTCTCTCTCTCTCTCTCTCATGCATACATGCACCCTTTAGCAAAAAAAAGAAAAACACAGCAAGGTAACACTTTGAAAAACCAGGAGAGTAAATGAAGTGATCTATGTTCCTATCGGTGTCCGGAAAGTGGTAGAAGTACTAATTCTTGGGAAGCTATTTAGTTTGAATGTTGTAATCTCTAGGACCTCCACTAAAATTACTTTAATAGAATGCTTAACAGGCTAATCGTCAATAATAAAAGAAAATATGTGATAAATCCAATACTTATGTAAGATATGTAACAGCAAGTGGCATCACAAATTGACCAATTCTTAGACTCAAAGTCTTGGAACTAGACGTGGCATTTGTGAAAGCCTTGTCTGAAATGAGGGCTTTAAGGCATCCAAAGCAGAAGCATCCCAATGCTATTTTTGCTTAACAGTGCCCATTGGCTTCCAGAGTGACAATGGTATCAGAGGAAAGCAGAAAAAAATGAAACTTAATTTGCATGCACTCTTGAAGGGTACATCTCAAAGCAGTGATTTTAGTACAAAAGAATTTCCCAAGGAGCTATTCAAAATGGAAGCTCATACTTCCCACTCAATTTCGTTATAGCCTAAAACTTTTCTAAAAAAATAAAGTCCATTTCACAAAAAATAAATGAAATAAAATAGAGCATCCAGGTTGCACAAGCAAGAAGGCAGTAACATCGTAGTATGGGAAGTCTCACAAGACACACACTTCACACCTACTCCCTTGAGATGTCTAGCTGGGCTAAAAGCATGTGCTGTGTGGAGACCGAGATGGTACAACTGGAGGGCTGAGGCTGCCGGGTAAAGCAATGCAGGTGAACAGGGCTCCTGAGAGTGTCTACCATCAGTCTGAGATAAAACCTAAGTCTAAGAGAGCACCTTTGCAGCATCTGCTTTACTGTAAGTCCAAATATTACTTGGGCTAATAGTCATGATTTTTAAAATCTCACTAGTGATATTAATGCATCTGTAGCTACTTTATTCATAGTAAACTGTAACTTGTTTGAAATGCAATTGTTTAGTCCCCAAAATAACTTCTCTTTGTTGTTGTTGTCTTTAGGTTTTTGTCCTAGAGCATATGCACTCACCAGAGAGAGAGAGAGGGAGAGAGAGAGGAGGAAAGTGAGAATTCACCCCTTCCACCCGGGAGGGATGGTCACTCCAGAATTACTTCTCCTCCATTCTCCTCTCAGGATTTTGGGTAAGCACACACATGTGCCCAGCATGATTTTCAAGCTGTTGGGTCTAGAACCAAAACTGTAGTCAGCCATGCAGAAATACAGCTCCTTCACCACCACACCATCTGCTGACCTTTCATTAAGTGTTTTTTTAAATAACAATTCCTCAGGTCACATGGCCTCCTGGTCCCCAGTGTTCTCATTCAGCAAGTCTGCAGTGAAGTTCAAGAATATGCATTTTTTACTAATCCTCTACAGAGTTTCAAGTGGTCACACACTTTAAGAGGACTTTCTCCAGGACAAAAGAGTTAAAGAGATGACATTTACCTTCTGACCTGTAAGGAACCCAAATTCAGAGTTCAAGAAAGATTCAAGAGCATTCTTATTGCTTGCTGAATATAAAAAGCAAACATGTTTGGAGTAAGAAAAATAAACATACTGAAAATATCCATGATTTAATCAATATATGAAATATAGATATAAAGAAATAATATTTATAATCAACATGCACTATTTTCTACCCCAGGTACAGGGGTGAAAAAAATGTTCAAAAGATTCCCTAGTCTCTTGGTTTAACATAATAACGAAGCAAAGAATACAGGAAGGTTTTCATTTTGACAAAAGAATAAACACAAAAATCAGCACCTAGAAGTAATCCAGCAGCAATTCAAAGGACTGCAAACCTCAGAAAAAGCTCTGAGTGGCAAAGCCAAGTTACACTGGACATTTTGCTCATTGTTAATACTGACCCATTCAATTTGTGTGCAGGCTAGGGTCTTCCCTGATTTGATTCTGTTGTTTCTTCTCAAGAGAACTGTACCCACTACATGTACAATGGCTTGAAAAGAAAGCATGATATTTTAACTTAACTCATTTCTACCAGTCATGCTCACATCAGAAATCTTGCCCCACTTCCTCATAATCCTTCTCCAGGGCTGCCAAATCTTCCCTAGCCTCCAAGAACTCTCCTTCATCCATGCCTTCCTTGATGTACCAGTGTACAAATGCCCTCTTGGCATACATGAGGTCAAACTTGTGGTCCAGGCGGGCCCAGGCCTCCATAATTGCCGTGGTGTTGCTCAGCATGCACACTGCCCTCTGGACTTCAGCCAGGGCCCCTCCTGGTATCACCATGGGTGGCTGAGTGTTGATGCCCACCTTGAAACCAGTTGGACACCAATCCACAAACTGAACAGAGCTCCCTGACTTCATGGCTGCAATGGCTGCATTCACATCCTTGGGGACCACATCCCCTCTGTATAGTAGGCAGCAGGCCATATACTTCCCAAGCCGAGGATCACACTTGACCAGCTGGTTGGAGAACTCAAAACAAGCTGCAGTGATGTCAGACACAGAGAGCTGTTCATGGTAGGCTTTGTCCGCAGAGATGATGGGAGCGTAGGTCGTCATGGGGAAATGTATTCTTGGATAAGGTACCAGGTTTGTCTGAAATTCAATTAGGTCCACATTCAAGGGCCCTTCAAACCGTAGGGAAGCAGTAATGGAAGACACCACCTGACCTATCAGCCTATTGATGCTGGCATAAGAGGGGTGTTCCACCCCAAGCTTACGATGGCATATGTCATAAATGGCCTCATTGTCCACCATGAAGGTACAGTCCGAGTGCTCTATGGTGGAATGGGTGGTGAGGACAGCATTGTAAGGCTCTACCACAGCAGTAGAAATCCTGGGGGCTGGGTAGACAGAGAACTCCAATTTAGTCTTCCTGCTATATTCTACGGAGAGCCGCTCCATTAAGAGAGATGTAAATCCCGAACCAGTGCCTCCTCCAAAGCTTCGGAAAATCAAAAATCCCTGCAGTCCACTGCACTGTTCTGCCTGAGGAAAGAAAATGGGATGTTGGAATTCAGTCACTAAATCTAGAAGGCTGGTAATGGAAGCATACAACAAGATCTTTAAAAAATAAATAAATAAAAGGCAACGAAAAACAAAAAGACTTTCAGAAAGGACTGGCTTGACATCATCAATCTCACAAATGTAGCTGCTATGGAATATACTTGAGAGCTACTTTGGAATAGGGGAAGCTTTCTAGAGGTCTATCAATATCAAAGAAAAAATGATAAGCAAAATCATGCTTCCCCTACAGCAGATGATGTGCCTAGCACCTCTATGTTCTACAGTACTGATGTAAAGGTGTTCTAGTACATAAAGATTAGGCCAAACATGAAAACTCTCACTGGGGAAGGATCGTAGGTCTTTACAGAAGAATTAACTGTCAGTAAATAAAGTAATCTCCACAGAGGGAGTGTTTCCAGTTAACTTCACAAATAGTTGTTACTATTGGGAAATGACAAGTGTAGAGTGGTTTGGAAGTCTTTAATAATGAGAGAAACCCTGATTGGGCAGAAGATAGAATGAACAACGCTACTGGGTAGATGAGAAGGCATCTGTCACCCTTCCTATGTAACAAAGATCCTTCCTTCCCCAGCTCTAGCACCACGTAGATACAAGTAAGAGGGCTGAGTGGCTAGTGGGTGGGGATGGCAGAGAGTGCTATGAATTCTGCTGCAGGATCACAGGTACCCAGGTAGTGTCAGAGGAGAGGAAGAGCCACTTGCCAGCTTTCGGATTCTCTCTAGCACAGGCTCAATGACCTCTGATCCCACAGAGTAGTGGCCTCTTGCATAGTTGTTTGCAGCATCCTCCTTTCCACTAAAGAGCTGATCTGGGTGGAAGAGTGAACGGTACTTCCCAGTACGAATCCCATCTGTAGGAGAGAAAGGAGGTTATTGTCCTCAGTTCAATTTAGCTGTTAACTCTTTGCTAATCCTTACCTGTCTATATCCTTGAACCCATCCTTGCCCTCAATGTTGTTGTAACGGAATGGAACTTATACCACTGACTTAACATTTCTTAGACTGAGAAATGGTAGAATTATTTACATAAAAATTGAAGACATATTTTTTCATCCCATATTAGTTTCCTAGAGCTGTCCAACAAACTACAACAAATTTGGTGGCTAAAACAACAGGAATTTATTTTCTAACAATTTGGGGGCCAGAAGTCCAAAATAAAGGCGTTGGCAGGTTTGGTTCCTTCTGGAGGCTCTAAGATGAATCCATTCTATACTTTTCTTCTAGCTTCCAGTGACTGGTGACAATTCTTAGCATTCTTTCTTTGGCTGAGAGCTGTCTCACTCTGTCTTCTGCCCCTCCTCCCACGCCCCCACCCCTGCCTTAACATGCCCTGTCCCTTACATATCTTTGTTATCTCTCTTCTCATAAGGACAAGATTCTTTGGTTTTAAGGCCCACACTAATCTAGCATGACCTCACCTTAACTAAGTACATCTGTAAAGACCCAATTTCCAAATAAGGTCACACTCTGAGATCCCAGGTAGACCTATATTCGAGGGGAAGGCATAAATTCAACCTCCTGCACACCCTAAGCATTTTGGCATGTTGCAACAACTATTCCTATGTACAGTCAATTTGTGTGCTAGAAAAACATGAAAAACCATACCAATCTAAGTTATTAGTGATACGCTTTAAATGATGCTTTAACAAAAAAGACATGGCAAGCTCAAACATACACATGACTTAAATGCAGTAAGCATAAAAGCATGAATCAGGGAAATCGGTACTATGATCTTGGCAATATTAAATATAATGAAGAACAACCTTTGCCTGGTTTCACTGTCTTTTTAAAACCCTAGGCAGCATATTCCCCTCCACCACCTTAGAATTATTCAAATAACATTATTCTTGATGGTTAAGTATAGTTAAGCAGAAGTATCTGAAAGTCAAGTAGGCTTTGGGAATGTTCCCCTGATTATAACAGGATACTGCATTGCTTAAAAGTTGAGCATGTGTGTTCAAGAACCAATTTCCCAAGTTCATTTCATACCTTCCCTACTTAGCTAAAAGGAAGTTACCTAGCCTCTCTAAGTCTCAGTTATTTCATCTCACAAATAAAGATTATGACAAGGCCTCCTTGCACAGAGCTATCGTGAAGATGAAATGAGAACATAGGGCTCGAGATGCATGGTCAATAACAACCACCATCATGAATAATCATGATAGAATACGCTTTGTGACATACATATATGGAAATTTACCTCACAGTACATCATTGACCTTGGCACCAGATGTCTATGTCAGTCCTAAAATTTCACTGCCTAAGAGGAGATGCGCTATGTTTCTAAGAGCAAGATTGTCCTCTCAACTCATGTTGCTCTCCTGTGAATGACCACAAATTTCTAAACTCCAATTTTGCATACCCTTCAAATTATTATATTTAGGGACCAGCAGTTGGTGTAGTGGCTATGTCACTGGACTCCCATGTAGTCAACCGCGGTTCGAGTCCCAGACCCGGTGGATTAAGCTTACGCTGGGCGTGTGTGCGTGCATGCCCAAGATCTTGAGAGGAGAATAGAGAAGAGATTGCGGCATGGCCATCCCCTCGGGGGGGGGGTGATTTCTCACTTTCAGTCTCTCTGTCTCTGTCTTTCTGTTCAGC